AATGTGAAGGCCCTACAAGGTATCAAACAGATTGTGCATAAAATACTTAAGATACTCACTGAAGGAAAGTTTATTATTAAAATAATAAATGGACTAAGATATGTTATACATTGTCAGTGACAACATTGCCAGAATAAACTGTGCCTAATTACAAGACTTGCTTTAGGTATATTTCATTGATATTTGCCAAAATTTACTGGTTTGCAGCATAGCTCCTGAGGACAGTGGAAATATTCCTTATTCTGAAATGAGAGATTATCAGAAGAGGTCAGGAAATTAATAAGTTGAAGTTCTTCCTCCAGACCTCAGGTTATTCCAACATGAAGGGATATGTACACCATCTAAAAGGCTGGAGGTGTAGGAAAAGCATACTGGCAAGAGCTGCTGTTAGCTGGCTGGACTTTAATGTCTTAAATTATATAATCTAGTTCTATTATAGACAAACTGGTAAAAGTGCACATTTGCTCAGAGATGTTCAGGTCAGAGATCATCAGCAATGTATCATTTACAGATAAAATTGATACCATTGGTGGACATGGTTTTTTCAAAGTACTTTAGCTGATGGATTCAGAGAACTTTAATGGAGTTAACTAAGATAGGAAGATAACGATACTTTGCGTAGAGCTAAAATGACCATGGCTACAAACAGCCAAGCAGAGTAGATCCTGCTTTGCTCTCTCTTGGTAAACAGAAATATATATATTGACTTATCAAATGAGCAAGCAAGATTAGATATATTGAAAATCCATTTGAAATCATTAGAAAGTATGATGAGACATTATTAGGTACAAGCATGGAGCTTTCAGATGACTTTCATGGAACAGACTATTAGCTTTTGTTACCACAATGAAGTACATGAGGCAACTGATTTTTTAAAGAAAAAAGGTTTATTTTACTAACATTTAAAGTCCAAAATTGGCTGGCCCCATTACTTTAGCTTCTACTGAGAACACTGGATGGTCACATAGTAGAAATGTGTTAGGAGCACATGGCCACACCTCAAAAGCAGGAAGCAGCAGAGAGGGAGATGGAGAAGGAGAGAAAGAAAAGTTGGAGAGACATGCCAGAGTCCCAGAGTCCCCTTCATGGGTGTGCTGTATTAAACTAAGTACATGATTGTGAGTTGGAATTTCTTTACTGAAATTAAAAACATTAGAGATTGAAGAAATTACAGATACTAAAGTAAATTGGAGCTGGGCATAGTGGCACACACCTGTAAAGCCAGCACTCGGACGGCTTCTCCAAGCCCCATCTCTTAAAGGTCCATAGCACCTACCAGTACCACCACACTAAGTTTCAAAATTTTATAGAAGGACCTTTGGAGAGTACTCATCTGATTGATGAATATAGAATTGAAATTGAGTGGAAGCTTCCATGATCCCACAGTTCTCACATCCTGCATACTTGTAAACCCAGCATCTCATGGATGATGCCAAACTCTGCTGCCAGTTTAAGCAGTAGCTAGGCCCTCTTGGACCATGGTTGCAACTGCCTGTGAATCTCTGGATTGCTGAATCCAGTGAAGTTAATCCTGAGGAACCAATTCCTTAGGCCAGTGGTGGTGGAGGCTATGACATGCATGTTACTGTATTTTTCTTTGAAGACAAAAGATGTTAATTTAGAGTTGTTTTTTCTAAACTAAAACCTCAGTATTCAGGTTAAATTACAGTGTTGGCACTTTGTGATAAGTGGGTTTGGGGTTGCAGTTTGGCACTTAGTTTCTAAAAGTTTCACTATCACTAACCTAGGCAGTCCTTGAGAGGGGGGCTCCAAGGCTCTCTTCTCAAATGAAGCATTTACACTTTTGCACTTGTGATATGTGGGATCTTGTTGATTGCTGAGATGCCCTTATGGGATCTTGTTGTGCAGGGCAAAGTGTTTGTTTTCTGTAAAGACCAGTTTCTTGTTGTTCAGGTAAAGTATTTGTTTTCTGTAAAGATACCTTTGGCAATCATACCTTCCTTGACCCCAGCTTTACAAAGTATTTCTTTCCAAGCCAAACTGAAAGTTTTTCAAACTTTTCTATGAATATTACCAGAAATCTGGCTAAAAGCAGCCATCAGTAACCGTACCACAACCTGAATATTGAGCTACCTTGAAATTTCCTCTGCAAAATCAATTTAGAATGAACAAAATATAGAAAAATTCTGTGCCAGAATATAACATGCATGGTCTCCTGTCCAGTCCCCAAGAGAATCCTCATTCTTACCTGAAATCTCATGAGCACAGTCTCTACTGTCGATACTCCTATCAGCATTCTGGATTTCTGAGCTCCCACCAGAATCACCCATCAATCTGTGCCTAAAGCATTCCAGGTATTCTCTCATTTTCATGTCCAAACCTTTCCAAATTCTTCCCACAGAACAGTCCCAAAGGCTTCTGAACTACATAGGTATAGTGACAGCAACAATCCCATTTTTGTGGTACCAATTTTCTGTATTAGCTTTTCCATTGCTGGGACAAAATATCCCATACCCACAACTTAAAGCAGAAGAGGTTTAATTTGGCTTATGGTTTCAGACGATTCAATCTGTGATTACTTGGCTCAAAGGCACAAGCCTCATGACAGGGTATGGCAAAAGAAAGCTGCTTGAACCATGGCGTCTATGAAGCAGAAATTCAGAAAAAGGGACCAGGGCCTAGATATAGTCCCCAAGTTTATGCCTCTATGATCTCCTCAGACACACCTGGAAGTGTGCTTTCCTAATCTAGGCATCTCTCAAGCCAATCAAGTTGACTGTCGAGATAATGGTCCCATCAAGTTATCTCAACTTTCATTCATCCCTCACTGACTGCTTTAAGAAGCCTGTATTTATCGGCTTTCCTGTTGCTGGGCAAAACACTTGACATACACAGCTTTAAGGAGGAGAGTTTTTTTGGTTCACAGTGTCAGGGTTCAGTCTGTGGCAATCTGGCTCCAAGGCAGACTGGCATGGCAGAAGGACCTGGATGAGGAGAGCTGCTCAGCCCGTGGCAGCCACAAAGCAGAGAAAGCAGGAAACACCAGAGAGAAAAGTATACCCTCCAAAGGCACGCTCCCAGTGATTAACGCCTTCCACCTGGGCCCTACCTCCTAACAGAAAATTCAGCTATAAATTTATCAATGGATTAATTCGCTAATGAATGTAACACTCCTATGAACCAATGACAAGTTATTTAAGTGTGTAGGGATGTGTATGCATTGGGCAATCTTTGATGGGTATGTATTAGCACACTAATAGACTGCATTTTAATTCTTAAACTATGAGTACAGTCCTATGCATTTTCAAACTGGTGCATGTGCATTATTGTGTATTAGCCAAAGCATGACCATTTCTCAATTAATGGTACATTTTCATCTAAATATGACACGCCTATTCCACAGACCTATATATTTTCAAAGTGGCACATGTGCATTACTGTATTTTAGTCCAAACATAAGCATTTCTCAACTAATGGTACATTTTCATCTAAAACCTATTTCACCACTCAATTCCTATTCTACCTATTCCACCATTCAACCATGGTATAATCTGTCATTTGGTGTCTAAATGGGTGGCTCTATATATTTACAAAGGTAACTGTAGCTTGTATTGTGATTTTGTTTTGTCTTTTTGAGACAGGTCTTGTTATGCAGTTCAGGCTGGCCTTGAGCTCACTTTGTAGCCCAGGCTGGTCTTGAACTCTCAATGACCCTCCTGCCTTAGCCTCCCAAGTGCTGGGATTATAGGTATGCACCACCATGCCTGGCTGCTTGTATTGTGAAACTGGTAAAAAATGTAAAATTTGTTAATGCACTGGTATATATAATGTAGATATACGTGGAAAAGAACCTTTGTTTTAAGAAGTAACAGTCAAGTAGGAACAAAAAATTTAATTGAAAAGACCACTATAGTAAATACTTGGAAAAGAAATTAGAGCAAGTTTCAAATGATGCTTACTCACTAATTAGTGGATGGAAAGTTGGAACTGCACTTTGGAGTCTTTAAGTTTTGCTGTACTTTGTATTATTGAAATTATTTCACATATGGACATAAAGTAAAAACGTATACAAAACCCTGGTGCTATGTAGTCTTATAACATCTGTATTGAGGTATACAGGCACACAAACTGTATGACTTTAACAATGTTTACATAATAGCTACGATCTAGAGGGTCTATTAAAAATGTAAGTCGCTGGTTTCCACACACTTAGTTTCTGATTTAGTAAGTCTGAGATGGGACCTTAGATTTGAGTTTCCAACAGATTCCCCAAAATGCTGATGCTTCTGATTTAGTTGGGGACCACGCTTTAAGAAACCCTGCTGGCTGTGGTACATGCCTGTAATCCCAGCACTCAGGAGGCTGAGGCAGTAGGATCATTGTGAGCTCAAGAACCGCCTTGGCTACAAAGTGAGTTCAAGGCCAGCCTGAACTTCATAGTGAGACCCTGACTCAAAAAGACAAAAAAGAAAGAACCTCTGCTAAAGCTTCTGAATAATATTGAACGTTAGGTATTTATACACATAATATCAGCACTTTCAAAGCAGAAAGGCTATCTTGGAGAGATTTTACAACCTTGACATTCGCTAAACTCTAAGTCCTCAGTAGCAATTGTAAAGAGAATCTGCACACCTTCTATAATGAAACTCAAGGAATTAAAGTGTACCTGCTATTATATTACAAGAGCTCCTAATAGGAGTGTAGTTGATTAGCTACTCTTAAGTTCGTGGGATAGATGCATTGGCTTACGTACATAAGCATGTCCCAGTAAGCAGGGACATTATCTGTACGTCATGCAGAATGCATAACATGCCATAATCCATTTAAATTCAGTTTAAGAGAGTTTTCAACCATAATGACAAGAAACAAAGAGGCACTTCTTTGCTGTCTACATGGATCATGCTACCTCCAGTAACATCTTAAAGATATAAAAATAAGGAGTCATTGAAGAAAATACCGTACAAAGATTCCTAATAGCACTGTCAAGTGCTTGCAAGTACATTCAGGTATAATTAAAAGCATAGCACCTACAAGCACACTTACCAAAGATAAATAGAAATATACAGTGAGCTTTTTATTAACTTCGTATAGTTCTTATGGTGCTTGGTATATCCCATTGACAAGTGATAGTCCTTCTCTCATTAAGTGTTAGAAATCAATATATGGAAAACACGCAATGGCAAGTTCTTCTTTTGTACATCCTTTGAGACAGCATTTATCTGAGAATCCTCTGCGTTTCCTTTGAGGATGATTCCCCCAAAATAAACTTGAGGCTTTAATTTTGTTTGTACTTTTCTTCTGAATTTTCACACTTCTGTGAATGTGTGGATAAACATCATGTGATGAAGAAAATTCTCTTGTCTTATCAAGGAGCAAGTTGGCCTTTTTATACTGATACTCAGGCAATGACTGAATCTCCAAACTGTTTATTGCTTCTTCCTGAGAGGCAGAAGTAGAGGCTATTGAGAGACAAGAAAAAAAAATTCTACTTTATTAAAATCTTCCCTTGGGTGGAAATTTAATAATATAATACTAAAATCACCTGAAGTTAAAAACAAGTAATCTTATTTTTAAAAATAGAAAGTATGTTTATTCAAAAGCAATATATATGTTTTTTTAACTAAAATAATGTGTTTTCCTATAAAAAACTTTAAAACCTTTGAAGTTTTCATAACATTTTTGAGATCATTTGTGTACTGTAAAATTCAGCACTTTGAATTCAAATCAGTGATTGTGAAAACATTCACTATATTGTACAATCATCACCACTATCTAATTCCCAAACATTTCTGTCACCCCACAAAAAAACAGTGATCATTGTTAACAATCACCCCCCTTTCCCCTAGTTCCTGGCAACCACTACTTTTCTTTTTTTGTTTCTATGGATATGTCTATTCTGTATATTTCTTATAAATGGAAGCATATACTATATGAACTTTTATGTTTGCTTTCTTTCATTTAGCATAATGTTTTCTGTGTTCATCTGTGTTGTAACATATGTAATTCCTTCATTCATTTTGTGGCTATATAATTTTCTATTGTATGGTTATTCTACATTACATTTTGTTTATTCATTTATCAAATGATGGGGATTTTGGTAGTCTCCACTGTTTGGCTAATACCACTGTTACGAACATTCATATACAAGTTCTTATATGAATATGTTTTCAGTCCTTTGGGCCTATACCTAGGACTTCTGGATTGCATGTTAATTTTGTTTAAATTTTTGAGCAAGTACAAAGCTTTTGCATAGCAGCTACACCAGTTTATAATCCTAGTACTGATAAACTAAGATTTCAGTTCCTCCACCCGCTCACAAACACTTGATATCTTCCATTTTTTATCATATTTATCCTAATGGACACCATAGCATCCTTAATAAAGTTCAGCCCTACTTATAATGATAAAAATACCTCTTAGCAAGCTTCCTTATCTTGGTAAAGATATAGGGCATTAACCTACTCACATTATTAAATTTAAATGCATGCCTTTAAGACTGGGAACAAGACATCATGACGGGGGTGTCTTATTCCCATTATTACTGGGAACACCACAATTACTACTTAAAATGACTAGAGGAGCTGGCCAATTCTCTCTCTTTTCTTTTAAAGAATGGTCTACAGTTTACAAAGAAAATGATAAAACTATCACTTCCAAGAGATAAGAAAAACCTATAGAATCAACAAATTATTAAAACTATGAAAATAGTTGAGTATTGTTTCTGGATCAAAATCTGCTTATACAAATCAGTTCCATTTCTTTATCCAATAGTCACTAACTAAAAATATAATTCATAACTCTTTATAATGGATCAAAATAAAGGGTTAGCCAATTACTTAGACAACAATGTAGAAAGTCTCCATAAGAGAAGACTTTAAAATCCTAATAGTAGTATATAAAGCCACTTCATGATTTTGATTGGGATGACATTGTTATAAAGATGTCACTTTTCTTCAAATTATGTATCCTGTGCATCTCAATTAAAATTCCAAGTGGATTAAAAAAAAAAAAGAAATTCAAGTATACTCTTAAATATTTATAGAAGAATGAAGATTGCAGATCAACTTAGTTGATTTTTCCCCCCCCTCTGGTACCGGGAACCGAACTCACGACCTTGCGCTTGCCAGGCAGGCGCTTTGCTGCTGAGCTAAATCCCCAGCCCCAACTTAGTTGATCTTAAGGGGGAAAAAACACTGGAGACTTGCTGTCCCAGAAAAATGACATGCTATAGAATCATAGTATGAAAAATAATGTAGTAATGGTACAAGGTCAAATAGCCCAAATAAATAGAATAGGAAGCTCAATAAACAATAAAGGTGACTATATACATCAACGGGGAAAATGTTTAGTAGAAGGTATTCAGAAAACTAGCTCCACACTTAGAGAAAAATAGAACTTACTGAGAAAACTAAAATAAGACAGTAATTCCTACCTAAATCAGAACCAAAATGGACCTGAGAAAAATGGAGGCCATAATATGAAAAGTAAAACTGTAAAGTTGATATAGGATCAGAAAAGGACCTCTAATACTTCTTTACATTTAAAAAGTAAGAACAATAAAGTAAAATACTATTGCTTGATTATACAAAAGCTTAAGCTTTCAGCCAAACAACACTAGTACACAGACGGCAAAATGGGAGAGCATATTTGTGATACCTAAATCCAACAACTGACTACTATTGTATCTAAATTTTTAAAACTAACTTTTACAAATAACATGGAAAATTACTATAATTTCAACAAAAAGGTCACAATATATATAAACAAGACTTTTTTTTTTTTTTGGTTGTTTTGAGACAGGGTCTCTCTATGCAGTTCAGGTTGACCTTGAGCTCACTTTGTTGCCCAGGCTGGCCTCGAACTCACAACGATCTTCCTGTCTCAGCCTCCTGAGTGCTGGGATTACAGGTGTGCGCCACCCCGCCCGGCTAAACAAGACATTTTCAAAAAGAGAAAAGCCAAAAGGCTAACATGCAGGTGAAATGATGCTCAAATTCAGAGAAAGTTAGGACAAAAATGAGATGCCATTTCATACATATTATACTAGCAAGAGTTAAAACTGTAATATGAGTTGTCAGCATGAGTACATAGGACTTGTGCTGAATAACTACATCAATCTGAATAACTACATCTCTGAAAAGCTACCTCAATTGATTGATATAGTTATTCTCAAGAATAACCTAACATGCCTCAAACAACTTAAGCATGCACATCTCATGACACACTAATTCTGCGACTAGATATATTTGTATGTCCCAGCAGAGTTTTCACACAGGTCTATAAGGGGGCATATACAATGATGTTCACTGCAGTGTTACTTATAGTGCAAGGAGTTGAAGGTTATATGGATTAAGTGTGTGTCACTGAAAGAGTGGGCAAAATGTGGGGAATGCACATGAGTGCTATGGAACAATTAGGAGGAACTGATTAAATCTTCACATGACAACAATAAGACACAAATCTTAAATATCACTTATATTTTTAAAAACATGCACAAGAAGCAATGTTTAATTTGTAAAAACTTATAAAAACAAACAAAAAAACCCCATTAGAATAACTGCCTAGGAAAGGAAAAGAGTACAATACTAAGATTTGGGAGCAAATACTTAGGTACAATTTAGAATATGATGTCACATTGTGGGGTGGGACTTGGAGACATGGCTTCCACCTTCAGGATTCCCTAACAAGAAGCACAGTTTCAGATTCATGTTATATATGACCAGCCTGTGAAAAAAAGCATGTTTTTATGTCAGTGTATGAAACTGTCTTTCTCTGTGTCAGACTCAAATAGAACATCAGAAGACTAAAACTGAACAAACTGCCTGGATTTAATTTTTATTTAGCTTTTCTACGCCCTGCTAAGAAAATTAATCAATTTTTTAGCCACATTATATGTAAAATAAATGGTATAATTACACATTCTGTATTGGAAACACCTCTCTGCAACTTCTATGTTATTCACTGGAAATTAACAGGACAGAGTAAATGTTATCTTCCCTTATAGACTAATAATTTTTAAAATTTTAATACAAATTCACATTTATAGCTCAAACCCATTTTTCTTTATTTCACACATTTCAAAACAACTGTGGCATGTGGTATTTCCGCTTCAAAATTATCCTTTACATAGTTCCCATAGTGACAGAGAATAACAATTACAAAATATAAGGTATATTTTTATTTCCTACAAATTGTAGTTCATTGCAGATTCCCTCTTACTGAACTAATGACATTTATTCCTCCAGGATAGTGTAAATAGCACCCAAAACAGGTCCATAATCAGCTCTGAGTTTTAAAGTTAAACATTTTTTATTAAGAAAACTGTCTTCAGAGTAGGCTTTATTGGGAAAAAAGGATTTCAAACTCTCTTTAAATAGCAAATTCAAGCTTTAACTTCCAAAGGTAAAATTTTGACTATAGTATAGGTGGTGAGAAAGCAGAATTAGATGTGAGAGAAATGCCCTTTTTAACATGAAGAACTTACTACTCCTTGTACTTCCTGGCAAGTTTAGACTGACTGCTGAGGTTTCCAGTGCAGAAGATTTAGAAAACATATGCTACTTGTGCAAGTAGCACTTTTTCTTTGATTCTGTGCCAGAATATGAAGTCTAATAAGATGCCTGAAAAGATTATACCAATGTAAGACTTTTTAAATTAATAAGATAATGAGTCTTAAACGACTGGAGAAAATAAGGAAGAGGAAGAAGAAAAGGAGAGGAACTAGATCTTTTAATTCAAAGATGTGTCCACAAGCTTGCAGTATAAGCGTCACCCAGAGAACTTGTTAAAAAGGTAGAATTTCAGACCCCACATCAGACCTACCGAATCAAACCCTGTGTATTAACAAGATTCCCAAATGATTTCCATACTCACTAAAGTCTGAGAATCACAAGTAGAACACTTTGAGGAGAAACACTTCCTCACTGTAACACATGGACTTTACATGTAGGTAGGTTTGATGGTGGAAATAATTAAGATACAGGCTCAGTGTGGTGGCAAAGGTGTGTAATGCCATCACGTGGGAGGCTGAGGCAGGAGGATTGCACAAATTCAAGGCAGCCTGGGATACATAGTGAATTCAAGACCAGCCTAAACTATAAAACTGTCTAGAAAAAAAAGAAAGAAATCAAGATTTATACTGATAGTTTCTGTCTCTAAGTTTCATCACCTGAGTGGAAATAATTTTATTAGTTCCATTCATTAAAAAATAAGTTAACAAGTGCTTACAGTATGCTAGGCATTATTTCAGTCACCTATATAAGCATCTGTTTTTGGCATGATAGTTTATGCAGATCTTAATTTCAGAAGTCTTGACTTTAGCAAGATTTGTCCAAATTGAAGTAAGTGAACTACTTTGAAAGGTAATAATTTTAAATATTATGCTATGGGTAGAATATGAACAAAGCATACTTTCTATAAAAATAGTAAACCATACTGGGACTAAAATGTGTTAGTCACAAAAAGTAAAAACATAGTTGGAAGAACTGATAGATCTGAAAAGAAAAATTCTTTCTAAAGACTGCTGAAAGGATTAAGTATAAATTAAATATATATTGAGCACATATTATGTGCAATGCCTTTTGCTAGGCATTGCAGGTAAAAATACACATGAAACATCCCCATAAGATAGTGTGATGTACATGGGTAGCTTTACATGAGACTTGTGCAGTTTGCACAGGGTGGGCATTTGGTTTTAAAGTTCTATTGTACCAGTCTTTAAATTCTCAATAACTTTATCTTTGAACTTGCAAGTGAAGTGCAATTACATGAACTTTATTTTTTTTAATTAAGTTTGTTGGTACAATTTAGGCATACATAATGATCACATTCATCATAGGCAACTTGTACCTGTACATGACATATCTTAGTTCCTCTTTTTCTTCCCATCCTCCTCCCCTCTCTTCAAGTGAAGCCTGATAGGAGACTGGATCATGCTTTTGAGCAGAAGAGATATGGACCAGAAAAAAGCTTTTACATTTTTGTATATTCGTCCCTTCTCTACTTTTAGAACAAGGACCCTATATTTTTGACTTGCCCTAGGTTGGGTTGGGCCAATTATGTAGCCAGTCCTGATGACAGTCTAGTAAAACTGCCCATGATAGATACTATGTAGAAAGGAAAATGCAACAATGACTATGAAAAGATCAACGATGAGTTCATAGAGAAAATGTCACCTAAGTTGGGCTTTGAAGGACAAAAAAGTTTGCCAGATGATAGAAGCATTGCACAATGGGGAAGCTAGAAAATGAACATTTTGATAAAAAATATGCACACTTACAGGTGTACACATATTTCCTCTAAGTTTAAGAAAAAAAGCTTCATGAAAGTTTTTGTGTATCCTCTATATACTAGTTTTTAATTATTTGTATTTATCTATGGATTGGACACAAATTCCATATCTTGCAGAAGCTCATTACCGGACAGCAAATCTGAGAAGAACTGTACAGATTTTACCTGGGTCTGTGACCCTTCCCCACCCTGGGAAAGGCGTTTCCTGTCTCCTCAACTGGTCGGGGTCCAGGGCTCCAACCTTCGTAGTGGCGTGGGGAGCCAACTGTGCCAAAGGGGTTTCTCCCTCAAACTGGAACTGGTTCCAGTCAGTAATGCCGCAGAGTTTTACTATTTCTTTCATCAGGTTGGTGCCGCACAGCCTCCTGGCTGTGCTGAGCTCTTGGTTCAACACCTGAGAGAATCGAATCAACAGCAACCCAAACCACAGCCGGATTAAAAGGAGGAGCCGCGTCATCCTGCGCCCCCTGCAGGCCCTCGGCTCTACAACCGCCCGCGTCTCTCCTGGCCCCGCCCCCTCGCCCCCCTCCGCTCCCCTCCCCCACTGGTGGCTTCTGAGTCTGCGCAGACCTCAGGAGAGCGAGGTGAGTTCTCCGGGCCTGGCTTCCGGTGTTCCTCCGGCGCCCCGGAAGTGGGAGGCTTTGGCCCTTAAAATGGAAGCTAAAACTACCTTCTCTGTGTGGGTTGATTCATTTTGCTGGTCTCCCTGTTTGGAAGTCTCCAAATGAAGGTGTGAGCACACGGGACTCCTGTTGCCCAGTGATGTTGCCCTGAAAGATGTTGCTGCCTCTACTGGAAAAGCATTGTCCGCCTTCTGGCCTGGTTAGCGAGGCGTTCCTTCCCTTAGAGAAACCTTTCTGTTCCTCATGCTGTCAGTAGGTCGGTGTACATTTATTTTTGCGCTTGTTTCACAACGTCTGTCCTCAAATCCCCGAGCTTCATGAAGTCAAGGCCTGTGGTGGTTCTTGCTTTCCATTGTACTCCACTTTAGGTTTTGATGTGTAGTTGGCCATCAAATATACGTTGAAATGTTTATGTGTTAGAGTATGTGTATGTTATGTTTTTTTTTTTTTTTTTTCTGGTACTGGGAATCGAACTCACGACCTTGCACGTGCCAGGCAGGCACTGTGCTGCTGAGCTAAATCCCCAGCCCCTATGTTATGTTTCAAAATCAGCACAGAGCTACTTTTGAAAATTCCTTCCGGTTCTGCAAGAGAAATAGAGTTAAGGATGCAGTCCTGAGGCGCCTAGGATGGAAGTCTGGGGTTTTGGGTTTTTTTTCCCCCCTCGTTTTATTTACGAGACCAGATTGTTGTCAGATTGCAACCATTTGCTTTTTAAGAGAAGCATCATGAAGTACAAGTTTAAATGGGATAATTTTGCTGAGGTAGGATGACTCAGGGAAGTGAAGCACAGTCAGTATGGGCTGCTTAGTTATTTTTAATGAATTGTATTTTGTTATAAAATATTTTGTCTTGGAAATTTGTACAGGGAAGCAGTTGGGGGTGATTTTAGAATCAGTCACCTTTAGTATGCCAAAGCCTCAGAGAGGCTCAAGTGTGTCGGTGATCATTTCACAACTTCCTTTTACAATATTTTTCCTCTTTTCTGTCTTCTGAGTTTATATCTTTTTCTCCATTTTCCATTTCCATAGCTTTCCCCTGCTTCCCACAGGCATCCATAAATGTTGTTCAATTAACTGGTCATCAGATTTTTTTGAAAAGTTGAAATAATATAAATTAGCATAATTTCATCACATTCCTAACAGCTAATACCCAGACTATACTAGGCCATGAGTCCTAGTGGGAACTTGATCAGGGAGGCCCTGTAAGAAGGGAAAATATCCATTATATTTAGAGGAAGATTTAAAACAAATTCTCAAGGGATATGTGTCAGAACTTGGAAATATAATTTAAACCCTCATTCTATTTGTGATTTTTATTTTTTTATTTTTTTGTCTTTTTGAGACAGGGTCTCACTATGCAGTTCAGGCTGGCCTTGAGTTCACTCTGTAGCCCAGACTGATCTCAAACTCAAAAGGATCCTCCTGCCTCAGCCTCAGGAGTGCTGGGATTACAGGCATGCACCACCATGCCCAGCTCTATTTATGATCTTTATACCCTCATCCTGCTTTGGATTTTCCCATACCATGCACTACAAACTGACTTACTATGTATTTTAAGTATTTACTGTCTTCTACTACCTGATGGTACATACACCTTGCAGGCAGGAATTTTTATGTTTTATTTACTTTGATATCCTCTATGCCTAAACTGTGCTTGTCATACAATAGGGTTTTTGTTGTTTTTTGTGTGACAGGGCCTTGCTATGCAGTTCAGGCTGGCCTTGAACTCTCTGTGTAACCCAGGCTGGTCTCAAACTCCCAACAACCCTCCTGCCTCAGCCTCCAAAGTGCTGGGATTATAGGTGCATCCCACCATGTCCAGCAATAGGTGCTTAATATCAATTTAATGTTAAAAGTTATACTTAATAATATAATGACAAATGACCTGCTTATATTATAATTGTATACTTGGTGAATTCATGAATGAACTTCTTAAGAATCTGCTACTTCTTCCTTTATACTATATTTCATACTTCTCTTATAATTTTAGTTCTTTATTGAACTATGGTGAATTTTTTTAAAAAATGTGTAATTATCTGTCTTTTTTTAGCACTTGTAAGTCTATTAATAAAGGGAGCCATTTTGGGTCCATATTAATTATCTAATGTCTAGGACAGTCTTTACTAATTAGACCTTTAATAAATATTTATTGTATGAATAAACACATTCCTAACTATTAATATTTGTTGTTAGCAAGGTTCAAAGGATTTATTGGACCAAATAAATGATTATTGAAATGAAATATTTTGAATGAATACAGTTATTATTGTTGCTATTGAATACCTGACTTACTTATTAGTATCCTGTTTTAGGTACCTTATTCCAGAACATGGTTATAAAACTGAGCTGCCCAGTAAACCACATTTGTGTATTTATAAGTGATATTTAATTTATGCAAAATAAAATCTAAGAGATTAAGGGTCATGCAAGAATATTTGTTTTTCAAGTTATTTTAGAGTTGTAGGTTGATAGCTTGATATAGGTACCAAGATATTTATGGTTTAATTCTTTACATTTTTGGTTTAGCAATATAAATTATGGGTATAGTTAATTATAATTGTTTACTTCCAATACAAATAATCCCTTCTTTATTTTCTCTTTTGCTTTCTGTCCAGTTTAATCCTTGTAGCAACCATATGAAATAGTATTATAATTATCATTTTATAAATGGGGAGCTCAGCCATTTAGAGATTAAGAAGCTCTTTAAGATGGTAGAGTTAAAAAGGAGCAGATGCCTGATTACAAAAACAGAATCTGTTTCTGGAACCCAAATTAGAGCTAGATAACCATGGACTGAACCCATTGAAACCATTAGCCAAAATAAACCTCTCCTTCTTTAAGTCATAGATGTCAGGGATTTTGTCCCATTGAAGAAAAAGTGACTAATACAATAATAGTGGTCTCATATAATGAATTTGGAAGGAGTTTCTTGTCTTTGATTCTCTGGAATAATTTGAGAAGAATTGGTATTTATTCTTCTCTAAGTTTGGTAAAATATAGCCATAAAGCCAGCTGTCCTAGGCTTTTCTTTTCTACAAGACTTTTTGTTACTGATTCCATCTCATTTGCTTATTATAGGTCTGCTCATATTTTTATGAACTTATGGTCCATCTTGGTAGATCATATATGTCTAAAAACTGTCAAATTCTTCTAGGTTTTCCAATTTGCTAGCCTGTAGTTTTTTTTTTTGTTTTTTTTTTTCATGATAGAAAGTACCTGAGTCAGAGGCGGGGATTTAGCTCAGTGGCACAATGCCTGCCTGGCAAGCTCAAGGTCATGAGTTCAATTCCCAGAACTGGAAAGAAACAAAAAAAAGGGGGGGGGGAGAAAGAAAGAAAGAAAGAAAGAAAGTACCTGAGTCAAAAGATCTTTTTTTTTTAATTTTAAAGAGAAAAAAAATAACAAAATAACAACAATGAAGGCAAAAACAAAACAATACAAAAACAATAAAAAATGATACAAGATTTCAAAACAAGATGATAGGAATTAACAGTGATTGTTATATTATGTATTGTTATTTTCAATGAAGCTGCTCAGATTACCAGATGTAAGAATGCAAGATTGATCAAACAATTTAGCATGTAGTTTTTCATAATAATCCTTTGTATTTCTGTTATTTGGTCATAATGGGTCCTTTTTCACCTCTGATTTTATTTGTCTTTTCTCATTTTTTAGTGAGTAGTCTAGCTAAAATTTGTCCATTTTGTTTGTTTTTTAAAAACCCACCTCTGTTTTTTTGATCTTTTGTATAATTTTTACAAATCTTTTTATTTCTGTGGAATCTTTGACATTTCTTTCTTTCCATTCATTTTGGGATTAGTTCTTGCTTTTCTAAGTCTTGAGATGCATTGTTAGGTTGTTTATTTGATATCTTTCATATTTTTTTATGTAGGCACTTGCTGTTATAAACTTCCTTCTTAGTTTTTTTTTTTGTTTTGTTTTTTTCCAGTACTGGGAATCAAACTCATGACCTTGCACTTGCCAGGAAGGCGCTGTGCTGCTGAGCTAAATCCCCAGCCCCAAACTTCCTTCTTAGGATTTCTTTTATTGTGTTCCATAAGTTTTGGTATTTTACATTTTCATTCTGTTTTATTTCAAGACATTTTAAATTTTCCCTGTTTATTTTTTGATTAGTCTTTGTTCATTCAAAAATGTGTTCGGTCTTCATGTATTTTTATAATTTCTAAAATTTCTTTTCTTATAGACTTCTAATTGTATTCAATAGCAATCAGAAAACCATCAGAATATAATTTCAACTTTGTTGAATATGTTAAGGTTTGTTTTTATTGTGGCAAAACCAAATGGACTCTTTTGATTGTGTGAAAACTATACAGACTATTTTAGAGAAAGTTCCACGTGCTGATAAAAAGAGTGTATATTCTGCAGCTGTTGGGTGGGATGTTCTGTAAATGCCTATTTTAGCCGTTTGATCTATTGTGCAATTTGACTTTGAAATGTTTTTTGATGGAGACCACTACAAAGCACCTCTGAGTAGGATTTAATATTAATCAGTTGGCTTTCCATGTTTACTTTTGAGTCTGTCCAAGGCCTAGGCCTGTTGTCTGGAGATGGGCAACAGACTCATAATAAGTGAACCTCTATGAGTCACTGGTCCTGACTGAGGCCTCTAATGGTGTGTGAAGCTGTGATGCCCCAGAGGACAAGACAAGGCCATAGTTAAGGACACCTGGCTCCAACCTCAATTAACTAGATACTGTTGCTGCAGGCATCTCACTCTTGGATGGAGACATTCCTGGAGATAATTCTCCTAAATTAACATAATATCTTACTTGGAGAAATCCTTGATCAGTTCCCACCTTTCTTCAGTATTCCTCTCTCTTTTTTTGATAACTAAATAAATATGGGCTGCCCAGAGAAGATCTTTGTCTTAGCTCCCAGAGAATCTGAAATTATGCTAGAGGGTTTTGATCCTCCTGGAGTCCTAAAATCATACCACTTGACTCATTTATTTAAGGCTTCATTATCCACTTGTTTGGGAGATTGCAGTCTTGATCAATCCACAGTAACTAAGGGATAATGTTACCATGTTGGTTTTTCTTGTTGTTGATTTTTTCATCAGTTCACTGATGAAAGTGGGGTATTAAGTCTACCACTATTATTATATTGCAGTGTACTTTTCCCTTTATGTCTGTATTTGTTTTATAAATTTGGGTGCTCTGATATTAAATACATATAGATTTATAATAGTTATATCTTCCTGGTTAATTGAGCCCTTGATCATTATAAAGTGACCCTTCTTTGTCTTTAATCATTTTTTTAAAATTTTGAAGTCCATTTTGTCAGATATAAAACATAGCCAATCTTGCTTACTTTATTTGCTTTGAATATCATTTTCCATCCTTTTAAGTCTCTGTGTTTTTAGTGGTGAGATGAGTTTCTTCTAGGCACTATTCTGTTGGGTTTTGCTTTTTTATCTATTCAGCCAATCTGTATCACTTAATTGGAGAATTGAGTTCATTTACCTTTGAGGTTATTATTGAAAGATAAGGAAGGACTTATTCTTGTTACTTTGCTCATTTTCTTCTAGTCATTTTAAATATTTTGTACTTTTCTTCCTTTCTTGTTTTTATGGCTTAATGATTTATTGTATAGATAATATTTAATTTTTTCCTATTTCTCTTTTGGGAGTCTACTTTTCTACTGGGATTTATAGTTTCTCAGACTGTCACAGTCATAGTTATCTTTCTTTCACTTCTGGATGTAGGACTCACTTAAGCATCTTTTGTAAGTCTGGTCTGGTAGTTATGAATTCCCTCAGTTTTTGCTCACCCTGGAAGGACTTTATTGCTCCTTTGTTTCTGAAATATAGCATTCCTATCTGGCTGTTATTTTGTCTTAAGTATTAGAATATATCACTGGCTTATAAGATTTCTTCTAAGACCTGCTATCAGTCTAATGGGGATACCCTCACATATGACTTAACACTTTTTTTTCCAGCAGATTTTAGGGTGTTTCTTTGTCTTGTGTTTTGACAGTTTGACTATAATGGCTGGGATGAAAATCTTTTTTGGTCATGACTATTTTGGTTCCTAAATAGCTCCTTTTCATGGATGTCCACATGTTTTCCAAGATTAGGGAAAATTTCTCCTACAACTTTATTGAACAGACTTTGCATGCTGTCAACTTTCATCTCTTCATCTTTGGGTATTCCAAAAATATGGATTCACTCCTTTAGTGGTACTCTTAAGGGTCCTGAATGATCTCTATTCTTTGTTTCTTTGCCTTTCTTCCTTTTTTTTTTGTCTTCATATTCAGGTATTCTTTCTTCTTCTTATGGTCTTTTGTGTTTGTTTGTTGTTTTTATTATCTCCATGATTTCTGTTTTTTTCAAAATCTATTCTTTTGCTGCATTTCTCCTTCATATCCTGAATTGTTTCCCTAACTTCATTTAACTGATTATATGTACTCTTTTAGATTTAATTGAGGTTTTCTAAAATAAGCATTTATTTGCATTCTTTATCAGGCAGTTTAACCCATATTAATTTCATTGGACTCTGTCGCTAGATAGTTTTTGCTAATTTTTGAGGCATCCTATTATCTTTTCATATTTCTAATTTTTGAGGCATCATATTATCTTTTCATATTTCTAATTTTTGAGGCATCCTATTATCTTTTTAATTTTTGAGGCATCCTATTATCTTTTCATATTTCTTGTTCTGTGTTGGAATTTCTCCCTCTTATAGATCAAGTATTGCCACCATTTTAGTGGGGTGGCTTTAATAAGTAGTTTTCTCCTGACAATGTGTGTTTGAAGTGTTGATTTGTTATGCAATGTTGACTTTTTTTCTGGCCGGCATGATAGTGCATTTTCTGTTAATCTTCTTTGCCTATGACTAGTGACTATTGAGTGCACTACATATGTGATGGAGTCAGAGAAAGCCAGTCTCTTTGTGGCTGCACAAGAGTCTGGACGTTCTAGCAGTTCAGATCAGTGTGGTTCAGACAGCACTGGCATGTGAAGCTCATTCTGTGGTTACTTCTGTCATAGAAATGATATCCTTTATTGGGCAATAAGGATATCCTCAGGCACTAGTTTGATGATAGCAAAGGAACTCATCAGCAGTGGTAAGGAACCTGAAGCAACGTGCCTCCACCAGTCAGTGGTGTGGAGCCAGATACTACATAGGGAGAAGCAGTGCTGGGAAGCACAGCACTTTGGCACTCACGCTAAGTTGTGACAGCAGTGCATGGTCAGACTTGGAGTAGGGGTGGGTGGCCTTGGCAACTGCTTTGGTGGGAAGGCAGCAGAGATAGAGGAGTTCCTCTCTGTACCTGAGGTATTAGCACCACATTATTAGAACAGTAGAGTTTCACTGTCACTGGTGACTACCAAAGCAATTCCTCAGTGTTTGCCTACATGGTGCCACAAACTAAGTGTTTGTCTTGCTTGCTGTGAGCAGGGACAGACCAGCCAAAGTGCAGCATTCGTTCCCAAGGCCACTATACATGTTTCATTCTGAGGTCATCCAAAAGCACTGATCCCATCCATGCTCTCCCTCCAGGCAGGTATGACTGGAAGAGTTACATGATGGTCAGCATGTGATGAATAATGACAAGGCCCTCTTCCAAGTTGTACACAATTAAATCATATCTTTTATTTGGAACAAAGGGTATTTACTAGTTTATTTAAAAACTGCCCTAACTTACATCAAGTTCTCAACTTTGCCTCAAGCAACAGAGATGAACTAGTAGACTTTGAACACAAACAAATGGGGACCATAAACATGTGACCCTATTTGCATTTAAAATGTCAATATATAATTTGATAGCTATCTCCAAAGCCCATTACCAAGTAAACAGTGTTATTTTAAAATGATAAAACTTTCCCCTCAAATAAAACATAAAACACAGGAAACTGACCCTAATTGTTTTAATTATTTTGGGAAAATACGCATTGCCAACATACTCTGTGATATCAGAAGATGGGATATCTGTCTCGCTAACAGTGGAAATTTTAAAAAAGACAAGAGCTAGAATGTATAGGTGAAAGCTATAACTGAGAAACTGGAGGAAATGGAGAAAGAACTTGAGTTTGAAGATAAGAGGAACAGAAAGGAGTGAGAGGGTTGAGCTCTGACAGAAAAATCAAACTGGCTTGTTAAAGAAAAGGGGCCATTTTTATGGGGTATCTGGAGTGGTCTAGAGTTTGGTAATTTTCCATTGGATTGTGAGTATGGGAGTTCTTTTTTTTTAAACAAACTTTCTTTTCCTCAATTTTTGCATATAAGATATGGATCCATGTCTGTTCTTGTCTTTGGAGACATTATAGTGTTTCCTTGCTGTCACAGTGCACATGGTCATTGTGATCAGAGTACAAGGCGTAAGGCAGTGATGGCAAAGCTTTTAGAGTTTTCAGTGATCACAAACAGCCAGCTGCAGCACACATGCCATAGGTTCAGCACCACTGGCATAAGGGGAGGGCACATTCTGTATATTGTTGATGGAGAAGGACAGAGAAAATGATATAACTTTACCTTCAGAAGTGTTTCAGTTTGGATCTTAAATCATTCAGAAGGTTAATATGTTCAGAGGTAGAACTTCTCAAAAGTGATTGGATCATGAGGATTCCAACTTCATCAGTGGATTAATCCATTGATGGCATGAAATTACAATTTGATGGCATTATTGAGAAATAATGGAAGTTTTGGAAGTAGAACCTAGTGGAAGGGAGCAAATCATGGGGGCTGTGACCTTGGGAACTATATCTTGTCCTTGACCCCTTCAGGACAAACTTTCACATACTGCTTTATGGCTGCCATGAGGTGAACAGCTTTCCTTGACCAAGCCCTTCTGCCATGATGTTTTTGCCTTTCCTTAGGCCTAAAAGCAACGGAGCAGGCCAACCATGAATTGAAGACTCTGAAACTGAGCAAAAATAAACCTTTCTTCATGTGTGTATATATATTCATATATTCTCTAGTCTCTAGAGACTACAGCCTGAAACTAAAATACTCATGTAATTAATAAACCAAACAAACAAGCAAACAAAAAACCAAAGATAACTAATTGTTCAGAGGAATCAGAAGAAGGAAACTAGTAGAAAATAATAGAATCTGACTTCCTGCCACTGTAAGACCTACCTTGTTGCTCTTCCAGGAATTACCAGCAATGCTAGAAGCTTGTGTTTTTTCTCATCCTCATCAGGATCTCTGGAGGACAAGTGTAAACAGCGATCTTGAGTTTCCTAATAAGACTGAATGGAAAGGGGCTGGGAATTTAGCTCAGCGGCACAGTGCCTGCCTGGCAAGCACAAGGCTGTGAGTTTGATTCCCGGTACCGGAAAAAAAACAAAAAAAAGAAAAAGACTGAATGGAAATATAAGAATGAATGAAAAAATACACTGTAAATTTTAGACATCACTGTATGAGCATAAGGTGATGTTACTGAGAATTTTCCTACTTTGCACAGAACTTGTTTTAACCACCATTAGTTTTCCATGGTTTATGAAGATAACTCTATCTGTTCATCTCAATAGCATGGATAAATATACCAAGCACTATAGCAGTCTCATTAGAACCTTTTAGTACTTTGAAGAAGAAATAGAAACAAATGTGAGGCAGTCAGTGGGAAAATTTGAGATAAACTCTAGTAGTGGCTTTACAAGTCAGTTATATTTATTTTGTGTAACTACACTTCCTACAATCCCAATGCTGTGTTTTTGAGGTTAGAAAACAAACACCAAAAAGGTTGCAAGTGCTGTGTTTCAGTAAGCATAAAACTAGTGTAGAGGAAGAAAGAAATTGAAAAGGAAAGAAGGCAATTCAGATTGTTTAAACAGCACAGAGGAAAACAACCTTGAGAGGATAAAGAGGCACAGAATGTGTGAGGCAAGTTGGGGAGAGTGAACTAGAACTGAGAAGGTAAATTCAGTGGAAATGGGCGTGGAAGGGGTGGATCTGAGACCACTGGTTTAATAGCTAAGTGATATTCCAGGGGATATAAAAGCCTGATTAAACCAAGTAGGGAAAGAGGCCTGAGGTGGTCACACAGGCACAGGTGTGTGGACAACAGCAACAGCAGTCCCCAGAGTGAGGCTGAAAAGCCCAGGGCACAAGCTACCAGGTCCAAGATGACCTGCATGTTCGTAACCTACCTGCTAGGGATCTGGCTGTTGCTGAGTCAGTTGCCCGGTGAGACCACTGCAGGTCTGGTGGATAAGCTGCGTTATCTGATATGTAACAACCCACTGGTGGATCGACTTGAGAGAAGATGCATGAGAATACAAGCAGTGGACCCAACTCCTGTGGATGGATTGGCAGTGCAGCCACGAGGACTGTCAGGTAAGAGCTCCTGCCTACTCCCTTGCTATTCTACGTTGATCATTAATGGCTCTCCAGCTGCAGGGGAATCTGAAAGTCCGCCCTGGAAGTACTGTTAAAGATGTCATTGCCTGTTACTGGCTCCCACAGTGCAGGAGTACTGCTGAAAAGTTTGGACTTGTCCTCTGTGAGTTGATTTTATTGAAAGCACCTCTTTGGGAATCTCACCAGGGGGAAGGAAAGCTAAGGGAATAAGAAACAGACATGTCAAGAAGAATGAATAAAAACAGGGTAGCTGGGCAGGAAGTAAAGCTGTCAAAAGACCCACAGTAGGAGGGATGTAGTTAAGGATTATTTTTATATTTCATTGTACTGAGTAAATGCTTTTGCTTTTCAATATGAAAACCATTAAAACTTACCCTGCTTTTCTTGAAATGAATATATTTTCACATCTTTTCTTTTCTCACTTTTTAAAAAACATAATAGAATTCCCAGGATTGTTCACCCACAGAGATTCAGAAGCCTTAAATATTTTGGTGAAATTCATTCCTGAACCGCCACAGGAGCTGAAAGCAATGTTTTCTGATGAGCAGTCATTATTGAGGACACTAAACCATCCAAAAGACCGGGCAATGTTATTTACTGTGTTTGTCAGACTTTGTTGTAAATTTAATTGTGTCCAGCAAACTAAGATGTTAATTTGTAATTATTAATCCATTGTGCAATCTTCATTTCTAATCTTGAATATACCTCCACTGTTGTCTAAATCACTCACCACTGATTATTAAAATTATGGGAAATTATCAATGTTTTTTCATTTTTCTGAAACAGTCTCCCTAAGGCTATTCTTTGTGTCAACAGTTAATCCTTTTTACTAAAGAAGTCTTCACGTCTTTTAAAAAAAAAAAAGATCTGCCTGGTAAGGATGAGGCCCTGAGTTCATTCCACCTACCACCCCCAAATAATAATGATGCTGGTATAATGACATCAACTGCTCTAAATCTTACTTACCTTAAAATGATAATGAAGTCTTTATCATGATAACACAATGACTCACTGTGATATCCTCCTAATGTCAGGCTAAATAAAAAGGCCTGAAAGTGTCAATTAAGACCATGTAAAGATATAACCACAAGCCTTGGAAGTTTTTACTTAACTCAAAATGGACATACTTTGCCTTATTAATATATTACTGCAAGTAAGCAGGTTAAGCGTTTGGATTTTTATGGCCAAATGAACTTGATTCAAAATAGGGATGTTTCATGTTTTTGAGGGACTCAACTGTATACCTTGAAATAATAAAATACTTTGTATGAGATTGCTTCTGTTTATAATGTATTTATAAACCGTATCTCTCATAAACAAAAAGTCCTATTTTAGTATTTTTAGCAAATACACAGACATTAAGTTCTTCCATTGGGTGAGAAATTTATCTGGAGACACTATTTTTAACAGGAGTCCCCCTTAAACTGTGTCTTAAACCCTGGGATTTTAGCACCAAAGTATCAAGACTGTCAGGGCCTATAGTGTTCAGTGCCTCCTGTTGTGTCACCTTCAGTCTGCAGGATCCCCTCCAACACAATGTTTGTCTCTCTTCCTGGGTGCAGGGAAATTCGCCAAAAGTGAATGCATTCCCTAGGGTATTTACTACACAATGCACCAAGGTCTTCAACTCTTCTTGGTACCATGACTGGACAGTGTAATGTGAGAATCAGGAGCTGAAGTATATAGAGGTAGAGATAGAGCTGGAGAAATTCTATTTTGATTATATCAGTGTCAGTACCGAAGTTATCATGTACTATGGTTTTCCTAGGTGTTACTGTTGAGGACGGGGTGAAACAGGATCTTGCCACAGTGTTTTTCACCTTCACCTGTATGAATCTACATTACCCCCAATTTAAAATTTATTTAAAAATTTTCTCAAAGTCCCTCAGTCACATGGACTGGATGTGGGTGCTTTGCAGTTGGCAGTCACATACAGAAATAGGACTACATAGAAGATAGGAGGTAGTTGGAAAGATATCAGATGTGACATAGGAAAGAACAGCAAATTCACTTATAGAATAGCTAGTTAAAATCCTAATAAAGTGTGCCTAAAACTTTCATGAGAAATGAATAAATGTGAGCTTAATTTATCTCAGATATAAAAATTCTCAGTTAATGTCACTCTTAGTGCTGAAGGACCAAAAGCCTATACATCCTCAGATCAGGATCAAATAAAAAATGCCCCCTTTAACGACATCCATTCAGCATATTACTGTAAGTTCTACCTAGAAGAATTAGGTAAGAAAAAGAGGGGGGAAAGGCATGAAAATTGGGAAGGAAGATATAAAATATTCTCTGCCTGCAGATGATAGGAACTTATGTGTAGAAAAACCTAAAGAATTGAAAAAAAATGTTAGTACTAGTAGACTGTTTTCATAAAGTGATAGAAAACATCATGCAAAAATTGATTGCCGGTAAATATCCCTCCCCAAAAATTAAGAGAACAGTGCTATTCTCAATACAATCTAAAATAATTTAAAACTTTGGAATATATTTAAGGAGAAACCTACAAAACATTCATTGCTAAAAGATACTAAAGGAGACATAAATTAAGGGAAAAACTTTTTGCCATGCTCATGCAGTTTTCCTCAGCTGGCAGACTTAATATTGTTAGGACGTCAGTACTATTCAAAGCAGTCTACAGAGTCAGTGTCATCGTTACCAGAATCCCAAAGGATTTTGTGCAAAATGTTTTTTTAAACAGAAAACCCTCTCTAATACGAATGTGGAATGTTAAGACTCCCCAAATAGCCAAGAGTCTTGACAGAGATAACAAAGTTGAAGGATACAGCTTCCTGATTTCAAAACTTTCTACAAAGCTGTAGTTGACAAAACAGTGAGGTAGTATGTCTTGAACATAATGGTGGCTTTTTCTTTTCTCCCCTTTTAGTTTTGCAGATAGTAAGAGATGGAAGAGGTCGTGAGTGTGTTCTTTGAACCATCCTGTGCTGCTCGCTTGGTTTTACCTCAAGATGTTATGGGTTGAATTGTGTCCTTAAATAGATACTCAGATTATAAAACCCTTATATCACAGAATGAAACATTTATAGATGTGAGGTCTTTGCAGATGTAAGTAGTTAAAATGAGGTCGTACAAGTTGGATAGATGAGGCTTATGTTCAATAGGGTTGGTGCTATAATTCGGTAAGATTCATGGTGGCAATGAAGATCAGAATACCTAGCGTGTCAAGGGGAACAATACTAAAGAGCTGTGGCTGCATCTAACAAATCGCGCATGTCCGTCAGAAGTTAGGAAAAGGAGAGAAATGTCCCTCAAACACTGTATTTCAACTTTGAGCATCCAGAGCAATAAAATAACCTGTTTTTCTTGCTTTAAGCTGCCCAGTGTAGCTTCTTGGTTGCATTATCCTTAGGAAATTAACACGGGGACTTAGAACCACTCTAAGCTGTTTGCTTTTCACTTTCATGTTCATGCTGACTTACACAGAATGATGAAACAGTGAATAAAGGGAAATTTCAACCTGTAAAAATCCTCTGGAAGTAAAGCTTTAGACATTTTTTGGGTAAGGAATTTAAAACTTTATATTCCAGGCTGGTGATGTAGCTCACTGGTAGAGTCCTTGCTTAATTTGTTTAAGATCCTTGGTTCAACATACACTATTGTCTGCAAAACCAAACAAAATCAAAACCAAAAAAACCCTTACATGTCATATAAGATTATAGACCTTTCTCTGATACTTTCTTTCCTCACATCTTGCTTTATAATAATGAGAGTTATGTACCGAGTGCATTGACAAAGGAAAGCTGAGAAACAGTCATGTGGCTAAGAAGCTCCATGTGAGCATTGTCTTTGTTTTGTCACTCATGAAAACTAAGGACCCAGAACACTACATGTGATGTAAGAGGAACTGAATCATTGTTTGCTGAATGAACAAGTAGAATTCCCTGTCCTGCCAAAAAATGTATCGTTGACTGATCATTATTAATGTCAAACTACAAAGCATACCATGTCTTCCTTATTTTCAACAGTGTAGAATAGCTTGGGGAAGCCAAGGGATTTATTTCAGATAGTGCAGTATATTCTTAGAGTCCTGAGGTTTCTTTCTGTACAGTCCCAAGATTCTCCTGTCCTCCAGTTTTCTTTATGAGAGACAAATCATGATCATGAATGGTACCCCAGTACTTCAGGATAAAATTTAAACTCCATTCCTAGTTTGAACTGGATGATTTAAGATTCCATCCCCGTCTCCATCTCTTGCAACATCTTGCCAATTCCCCGTCATGCTTTCAACATCTTGCTTTCCTATCCTACTGAATCTGGACAGTTCCATCATATTGTGCTTTGTTCTCTTCTCTGTGCTTTTCCCTACACCCAGTTTACCCATTCATCTCCTTAAATACCTTTCATAGTGTAGATCAAACATTACTTCCACCAGGGAGATTTTGCAGGCTTCCTTCTCTTACAGTGCTTCTTTTATACTTCTTCCTTTTCATGTCAGCGTTAAATAAGTGCTATTTCTTTGGGTTTGTTTTGTTGTCAGTGATGCTGTACTAACAGTATAGCATTTATTTGTCTTTTTACCTGTTAATGTTCCATGTTAGACTGTGATCTGTGAGTTGACTGTGGGGATCATTTACAGATACACAACAGCTGTTCAACATATGCTACTAAAGGAAATTCCACCTAGCATTGAGGTATTTGCAGTCTGTTGGGGGTAAAAGGAAGGTGAAACAGTAGACTGGGGCTACAGAGTGAAAATGTACTGAGTGCCCAGGTTAGTAGAACTAGGGATGTCGGAGGAGCCTCTATGATTAAAGATCCTGTGTTACAGGAGAAAAAGGGAGGCCAAGAGGATAACTCACCAACTGTCGGGTGAGTTATCTCTTTGAGGAAGGAATCTGCTGCCCTCTTTGTGAGTGAAAAAATGAATACAGAAATCATTATGGATTAGAAGTTTGGAGAACAAGAGGCAGGGTGGATTCTGTATTAGAACTCCAGAGGAAAAGAGGCTGAGATGTCTGTCTGAGGTATTCCATGGAAATCATGCTCAATTCCTCCCAATACAACTACTCTCTGAGTCCTTTTGAACACCTGTGGTTATGATATTGAACTAGAGTAAGTTATTCCTCCAACTCTTGCATCCTGCCATGATTTGAACGTGATACGTGCCCCACACAGTCCTTTGTAATTAAAGAGTTGGTTACAGTTTGGTGCTATTGGGAAGTGGTGGAACCTTTTGGAAGATGGAGGTTAGTGGGAGGCCCTAGGTCACAGAAGGTATGAGGTATTTTTTTTATGGGATTCCTTTGGTAGTTTTCTTTTTAGTTCACTAGAGAACATTATTATAAAAAGTATGAGCCTCATCCTGCTTTCTTTCTGGCTTGTTCACACACAAGCACCTGCCATGACATACTGCCATTTACCACATTCACTGGAGGTCAAAGCAAGGGGGCCACCTGATTTTGTACTTTGAATCTCCAAAACTGTCAGTTAAATAACCCTTTCCTAAGTGAGTAGCCTAATCATTTCTTTGTAGTACACAAAATTGAATGATGTACATTCTTTCTACCATAGGTAGAGGAAAAATCAAGAGATCTGCCTATGACTGATTATGGAGGACTTTTAAAACATTCTTCCAGTAAATTCACAGGCATATTTAGACTGTCATGTTACCACAGGATTTAGAAACTATACTTTTTGACTGGAAAAAACTAACTGCAATACAACCCAGTCACATATATTCTAGAATCTTCCTCAGTAGGATGATTGGTGCCAATTGTAAATGGCCCCAGTGGCAACCTGAATTATTTCCTTAGCTCAGTGGTTCTTCAATGTTGTAGCACATAAGAATCACATGCGGGTTTCTAAAACCTCTCCTGGTCTATATCACATTCAGAAACAAGTCAGGACCCACGCTTTGGTACTTGCAAAGATTCCCAGTTGATTTTGGTGTGATGCAAAGTTGGGAAACCATCATCTTGCTATTTCCCAAAGACCCTATTAAAAAGATTTTAGGACTAATTTAATTGTATTTCTTACCTAGTCATCTCTATGGAATTTTTTTTTATTTTAAAAATAAAAGGAGGAAAACATTAACAGACAACCTTTTACAAAATAGCAAAAGAACAGTACAGACAATACAGAGTTACAAACACAGTGGTAGGAAATTAACAATGCTTGTTGTATTACATATTGATATCTTCAAAGTGGTTTCTCATGAAAACAGAGACATACAGTACTGATCAATCAAGAACTCATTGACAGTTTCTTTCAGCAAAGAAATAGAAGACAGTAGAACAACTATGTTAACTATCCTGTATATACATACATACAACGTTTATCCTTCTTTCCCTTCTCTTTTCCCCCATCCCAGTTGCCCTTTACTTTTGTGCATTTTCTTTCATTTCATAATGTCTATCACACTTCCTAGTTTAAATGAACTCTTTCGGGTTTTGCACTAGTGAAACAATGCAGTGCTTGCACATGCAGGTCTGATTTATTTCACTTATGAGTATGGTCTCTAGTTATGACCATTTACCTATAAAGCCCTCAAGTTTATCTTTCTTTATAGCTGAGTAATATTCCATTATATAAAAGTACCACAATTTTCTTATCCAATCCTTGGTGGGTGGACATTTGGGTTGCTTCTATGGAATTTTTAATGTAAAAATTTTTATAAATACATAAAATCTATTAGCAAAAACAAGTGAAATGTCAGAGGAGTAAAAGAGGACTAGAACTAAGGGTCGTCACAGCATTTGGGTAGTAGAAGTCATGTCCCAGAGTCAGAGTAGGGTTTGCAGTAAACTCCAGAAGGAATAAGAGGGGATTTTTAGGGAGATACCTTAACATTTTGCTAGGAAAAGATTTGTGGCGGTAGGTTGCTTATTTAGGAAAAACAAATTAGAAAACCAGAAGAAAATCCCGGTGAAAACAGTCAAGAAGATTAGCAGGTCTGTATTTTAGGATATTTTCTCTAGATGCTACCCTGAGGTATTATCACTGTATTTTGGTACTCTGACTTCTATCCCCACTTTCCAGTTCCCTCTGATAGGGCAAGAGAGACTCCGTTTTCTTTTTTTTTAACTCCATATTAAAGGAAGTCACTTAAGTTCATTTAAGCTACGGTTGACCCCTGTAACGGTTGATATATTGTGTCAACTTGGGGAATCTAGGGGTTTGGCTAAGCGACTCAGCAGTTCTGCATTTGGGGTGAAAAGGACTAACCCTTACCCTTCTGGGATGCTGTTCATTGTGTCAATTTGAGAAGTTTAGAAGGTTAACTGTGTGACTCAGCAGGAAGCCAGGGTGCTTACTTTGTATTCATCCTGAGCCTGTGCAAGCCGAGGGCATGGAGATTATGTGAGTGCTACACACCCTCTGGGTGGGGGTAGTGAGCTTACAGTGTAAGGGAGGGAAAGAGCCTTTCTCCTCTCTGCCACCCCTCCCTTGTGCTCTTGTTACTTTTGCTGTCTTCCGCCTCCATGAACCATTGCCCTCTGCCATGTGCCACCCTGCCTTGGAACCAGCCGAGTATGGACTGAAACCTCCACAAACTGTGAGCTAAATAAACCTTTCCTTCCTTAATTTTGGGCGTTGGGTATTTTGTCTCAGCAAGGAGAAAAAAAGTAACCAAGACAACCCCACTTTTCACCCCCTCCCCGTGGTTAGTGATCAACCTACTTGAAGGAGAGTAGAGTGATAAAATGGGGTCAGAACAAACAGGATAAATTGGAAAGTAGGCTAAAAGTTAAAATACACTGGTTAACTTCTGGGAAAGGTAAACCTTATAACCATTATGTGACATTCTTGTAAAATTCCCCAAAATGAGGTAATGGTTACCATGGAAACCTAAAAATGTACTTAAACAGAAGGTAAGACCCAGATCAGGGTGGACATCTTCTCTGGTTCCTGATTAGAGACTGTCCATCAGCCAACTCAATAAAGCTTTTCTTTTTCCTGCTCTTTTGGTCTCTTGTGAATGCCTCACTTGCTATATCACCTTCAAGCAGGCAACCTTGTACTCACTTGCTATATCACCTTCAAGCAGGCAACCTGGACCTGGTGTACCCGGTGGGCTTTTGAAGAGTTATAAGCAGGATATGCTTACACCTACACTTGCCATTTGTTTTTTGGTAAATGCCTGATGATAGGGGAAAGGTTATGCAGATATCTTTGGCAGTATCAAAGCTAGAGAAAGAGAGGAAAGTTTTGCTGTACATTGCTCAGTAGCCACACTGACTAGGAGAATTGAAGACTAAGATGAAAGAGTGTCATGTCCAAAGAAAAGATAACGTTCTTGGCAAACAGAGAATTACAGTGAGTTGCAGTGGTAGCCATTGAGGGCAGTGGAGTCCAAGGTCTTGGTGGGAGGGTGCTAAGACCCAGGTTTAGTGTATACCTTAAATGGGAATAATGTCTGATGCTGATTTCCCCACAGCAGAATTTGGATTTCTGTTCATTTGTTAAAAGAAAAAAAAATGGTTATTTCTTACACACCAGAGACCATTCTTTCAGATTCTTCATATATGTTGAACATAATCAGTCAGCTGGAGAGAAGAAAAATATAGATCACAAGAAGCTTGGTTAGGTAGAGGGTTGATTTTTTTGGGTATCATTTCTTTCATATAAATCAGAAAGAAAAATGGAGTAATGTATTCTGATGAACATGAAAGTAATTGAGTCACTAGGTGATAGTGAATGACCTCAGCATTATTAGTTAAGTATGAGGTGAGAACTAGGGGGATGGAAAAGAAACCTTAGAGAGAATGGAGTTCTGGAATCAACACTGGTCAGTGTGCTATATGTAAATGAGTTATAATAAGCAGCAAAGGTTCCATTATGGAAGCATGTTGGAAGCATCTTGGCTTTCTCCCTGAATAGTTATATTTTGTTTCTTCTTTTTCAATGAATAGAAAACTTCAGGGAGGATATGATAAACCTCAGTGGCTTGGTTATGATGAACCATGTGTAGAGATTTAAGATATAGGAACTGCTGGGTTCATCTCCTATAACTGTGTTTTCAGAATTTGATGGAGGAGACTAAATTGTTATAAATGTACCTACTCTATAAATGCTGGCTAGGAATGTCTGGGTATAGAGATTAAAGGAATTGATACAATTTTAAGATGATATCATGCTGATTTACCACTGTGATAAATATTCATGTAATTTCACAATGTATCTTGCTTACATAAATGTTCTGTAAATCCTAAAATGGCAAATCTGAATACTTTCCTTTATCAAATTTAATCCTTCTAAGATACATTATTGAGTTATTTATTCAGTAACCTATATGCTAACATCACTTAAAACCATTTATTGACTCTCTTAGAAGAATAGAAGCAACCTTATTTGAAAAACCGTTGGTTCATTTAGGCCCCAAAATTCAAATTTACTTATTTTTTATTCAGAATTTTTCCAAATAATATTTCAGTACAGCCCTTGCCCAAACCCAATTCAATGAAAGTAAAAAATTCCATATGGCCTATGTTGACAAGGTCATAAAAATGTAATCACTTTTATATGTATCTGGTATTTAAAAGTATTAGGTTAGTTAAAGAGACAAAGGTTTTAATATTATAAAGTTAACAAAATTGAACAATTAGTATAACTATACTATTAGTGAGAAAGATAAAGTGATTTCAGCAGAAAAAGAATTTTTTAGAGAAAGTACAATCATGAAAAACTTATTATAGAACAAATAAAAATGCAATACTAATGAGAATTTCTCATGTTCTAAAAATAATCAGTGGCCACTGAACTGAGCATCATTGAATGTGCTTGGAGAATACACATGAAGCTAGGTGAGAAGTCCGAATCACTCTATCTGCATGCTTCAAGAAGAGATTTTCTGTCACAACCTTCATCGCAACATTTTTCAATGATATTAAGTAGACTTCTCTTTGCCTGGAAAAGGGGGTCCTTCCAGAATGGTGTCTGTCCTTCATACATCATGTCCTTTGGCATATTAGGAATGGATTCTGACATCATACCAAAGGTTCCTGCATCTTCGTCAATGGAGGATGATACTGTTTCTGTTATGTTAAAAAAGTGAAAAATAAGGAAAAAATCATGTCAAAGGGAACCTGAAAAATTAAAATTTTGCCTCCTCCAAAATATAACCTTGCCTCAAGATAGTTAAACAACAGAACCAGCAAAATTCTTAACATATAAACAATGTAGGTGACTTAAATTGGTCACCTTCAGATGCTACAAAATCACAACAGTATGGTTACTTCTCTGTCCCCTCTGTGAATTTTTCCCATCACCGTCTAAATATTTACTTTTGACTTTCTCTTACACTATTTTGATTGATAATTTTCAGTTTAAATAATCCCTGCACTGCAGCAGGAAATTTATAATCTCAAATTTTCCAATAGAAAGATCCATATATTTGTATATCTGCCTAACTCTGTATACATGCATATTCATATCTATACCAGATATTAACTTTAGATATCCATAAGTATTTTCTATTTTTATTATTAAATTTATCAACATTTCTCAGGCTTTATGATCATTTTAAGTTATTTACTTCCAAAAGGGTGAAATTTAAACCAAAATAATAGTATAATATGCTCTTCAGTTTCCATTGGAAAATTTCTTATTGTATTCTTTCTTTATTTTCTAGTAAAATAGATCAAACTTTGACCACAGTGTCAAATAAAGAAATAACTTTGAAATCATGCTATAATTCATATAAAATGGAAATACATTTACTATGCAACATCACTTTTCAGGGCGGTAAGTTAATGGTTTAATGTAGGGTTTGCATAGAGCTTACAAAATGTAGTTCCGAATTCACACATTATTAATGCAGAACCTGTGTCATTTTTATTAATGGAAAACTGATTGGTAACTTATCTTGGTTTTATAGACTTTAACATGATCCACTAGACTGAACAGAATAGCCTCTATCTTGGAAGCTACCCTTGCTAGTTCTAAGGTAGCTTGTAGTTTAAGAATACTCGGTGACTTAAAAAAGTTTAAAAACTCTTCTAGAACTGGGATTCCAGTTCTTTAAGTTTCATTAAGATTACACTTTAAAAAGACAGATACCTTCAAAAGCTTGAAAGCATTAATCAGATTTTCAGCTATGATGGTCTAAAGAGCAAATTTGCCTTCACTCCGGTCCCTTCAATGTTCTCTTTAGTCACTCAAAGACTTTCCTTTCTCTTCCATCCCTGAGCTACAACACCTAATTTCCTTAGGTTGCATTAAAAAAAGAAAAAAAGAAAAAGAAATATGTTCTCCGTGGAAGAGACCACAAACCAGCTTTTTGATAAGGAAGAGTCATTCAATTTAAGACCCTTCCAGTCACCCATTCTGTGGCCCCAACAGGGGACTCAGCATGCTGTTCCTTGCTCTTTGGTGCACAAACAAGCATGATAACTCATCCACCACCTGACTGCTTCCTTTCCTGTCAGTTGGCGATACCCCTTCCAGGTTTCTGGAAGCAGCGGCCTGCTGTATGACTGCCCATTTTCTAAAGAAACCCAGGGATATACTCTACCTATTGCAGGTCTTAGGGGGTCCTGTCTCCTCTGTGGCTTCTGCCTGCCATCTGCTGTGTTATTCTGCATTCTGGGAAGGAAGGGAACCAACCAAGTGCCTCTCTTGCCTCCTTTTTGCCTCGCTCTTGTGAGATTCCCAGTGAGATGCTTTGTATATAAGCAAGTTACAAAGGAAAAGCTCAACTGTCAGGCACCAGCCACAGCAGAGAGTAGGCTTGGGACCTGCGGCCAGTGTGGTCTCCAGTGGTGTTGTGCCAGTCTGCCTGTGTTCACGTTGTTCACCCTGAGGCCCATAGATGGGAAGCACAGAAAGGCAGCTTGAGGGGGCTCTTACTTGTGAGCGATCCAGATTCTTCTAGCTGGTCCACCTGGATTTTGGAGATTCTGTTATCAGCTTCCAAGCAGGCGATTACGAGGGCCTCATCAAATTCATTGCCACATAACTTCTTCTTTTCATCATTTATCCACTGAGTGGAGCTTTCTCGGAGGAACTGACTCAGCATTAGCCAGACTATTGGCAGGTGGGACCAGAGCAGGCTGAACATCCTGGACTTTGTTTCTGTTGCTCTGGGGCTTTCAGCCTTTTTCTAGCTACTGCTCCCCTTATTGTTCCCTGTAGTTCTTTGCCAGTGTACCTATTCTGCCTTCTGCTTTCTGCCTGTTATATCAGGCTTTTATTCCCCTAGAGCTGTTATTCAGCTCTTAAGTCTACAGTTGCAGCTCCACCCCTTTCCCAAGCACCAATAGGGAATTTCCTCCTTCAGCTCCAGTTCATTCTCTACTTCCCCTTCCTCTCCCCATGTCCCGCCATGCTTAGACGTTCTTCTAATCTTGTTTAAGTTTGAATTTTCTCTTTTTTTATTGTCTTTTCACTTTTACGGTTATTTTTTATATTTACTAAAATGAGTTTTAATGTTTATTTGCTTGGTTAAAGGCTTGTCTTAATCATTACTGAAAATATTGGTGAAGCAGAAATAAAATTGACTTCTAAGTTCATCAGCTACAGATTATCTCTGTTAACATATGGTGTAAAGCTTTCTAATATTCTTCCTAAATCCCACAGATTTCTTTGTATTTATTCAAAGCTTTAAGAGAGTATAACTATATTGATTTCTGTAATGCATTGCATATTCTTCCACAGTACCCTAACTTGTGGTTGGATTAATTCTTCACAAATGAAAAGAAATCGTGTGGATAGTACTAAAATAACATTATTTCAGTCTTGTATGATAATTTTTAAAGTTTATAGCATACTTTCTCATTCAATTGTAAAAAACTGGAATCTTAAGCTTCCAGGGAACTTGAAATTTCTGTAGTTAGGGCTCTCCTTCAGAGATCCTGGCAAAGATAAGAAAATATATGAGCTCTGTAGGGTGGATTTCTAAGACTTAGAAGAGCACCCACTGGAGGTCTTCCTATAATGATGTGAAGTCAGACTTTGTACCTTCCTATCTACATTTTTCTTTGGATCCGTGGGTAACTGGTGAATTGTTACCAGTTACCTGGATTCTTTAATTTGAAAGTATAATTACTATTTCAAGGACTATAGAACATGCATACAAAAATATACATGTTCACATGCCAACACACAAAAAGGCAATAAAAAATAGTAGAATCCCACAATCACAAGGACAACAATTTGGTGACACATGTTCACGCATGAAAAATTTGTATCTCTGTGATTTATTAAGCACTATGTATGTTGTACCTTGTGAACATAAACTTTTATTGCTTAAGTTTTAAGCCATGTCAGAAGTTTTGGGGGTAATATATTTGTTAGATAACTCTCAAAGTAGAGGTATATTTTAACTGCAAATAGGGCACATGTTTATAAGCCTCATTGGTTAAGCTTGAAAATCTGCTAAGATCAGATCTCTTCCATTCAAGTTAGCCTGAGGGATTGATGAAAATTATGGTACCTTTCAAATAAACTAATAAATCCTCATAGTTCCCAATGAAAAAAATATGATGTAGGTCCCTGCCAGTAGGAAAATGGCCCACTCATGATTTGTCAAGCGCTGGATATTGCATAACTCTTCAAATAATACCTGTCTAAGGTTGCAGAATAGTGACAGTCATTTTAGATGTGCTTTCAGTAAGACAAGAAATCAGTACCAAAAAACAAATAGCCCACTCAATAAATAGGCCAATGAATTGAACAGACATTTCTTAAAGTATAAATGGCTAACAAGTATGTGAAAAAATGATCACCATCTTTAGCCACTAGAGAAGGGCAAGTTAAACCATCATGAATTTCCATCTAACCCCAGTCAGAACGACTAGCATCAAGACTACAAAAAGGAATAAATTTGGTGAGGATGTGGGATGAGGGAGCTGGGGGAAAGGAACTTTTTTATACTGTTGGTGGGATTATAAATTATTACAGTCATTATGGAAATCACTATGGATGTGTCTCAAAAAACTAAAAAAGGAGCTACAGATTGATCCATCTATACCACTTGTTTGTATATTCCTGGAATTAAAGTCAGCATACTATACAGATATCTGAGCACCCAGAAGTGTCACTTACCTTATACAGTCTGCACTAGCTAAGCTATAGAAACAGCCTAGGTTGCCCATCAACAGAAAATGGAACAAGAAACTGTAGTATATATACACAATAGAATATTACTCAGTGATAAAGAACAAAAATCGTGTAATTTGCAGGAAAATGGGTGAAACTAGAGGTCTTTGTGTTAAATGAAATAAGCCAGGCTCAGAAAGTCAAATATTATATGTCCTTTCTCATATGAGGAATCTAGAAAAACAATTTTTTAAAAGAGAGAGATGACATGGAAGTGGAAAGCAGACTATCTGAAAAGAGGAACGAGTTTGGGGGTAGGAACAGAAAGGAGAAAAGTGTAATGGTGCCCGGAGAGATCTAAGTATGGTGTATACCTGTACAAACTGCCAAAATCAAACTCCCTGTTCTGTGTAAATAGGGTATATACTAATTTAAAAATTAAAAGAAGGCCTGAAAAAAAATTATGGAAGTAGGGCTTCTGAATCAGAATCTGTATTTGTTGCCTTTTTTTTTTTTCTGGTACCAGGAATTGAACTCACAACCTTGCACTTGCCAGGCAGGCACTGTGCCGCTGAGCTAAATCCCCAGCCCCTGTTGCCTTTGGTTATATGACTGCTTTTGAAGTGATACAAAGATAATTTGTGGTTAGCTACTTACTATAAATAATCAACTCTTGTGCTATTAAAATTTACTTAAATGTCATGAGAAATGGACCATTGTAGCTTAATGTGGTTGTCACATAAAACTTTTATTCTGAGCATAGATATATACAAGTTAGACTTGTGTACTCAGTGAAGAACAGAATAATGTAGAAGAGTGGTTTAAATAAACTCTACAAAGTAAACATCCAACACTGTTTAGCATGTAAGTGAAATCAGCAAATCCTGCCCAGTTTTTTAGTCAGCCATGCTTAGCCCTTAGGGCTGCCTTCTTATGCTCTCGACCTTGTGGCCCCTGAATGCCTACTTCCCCTCCTTTCTCAGCATGCATTTTAGGCAGGAAAGAAAGGGAAAAAAGAAGGCTTAGAGCTTGAATTAAAAAGCAAAGGTTTTACCAGAAACTTCCATACTCATGCTTAAAGTGTATTGACCAGAAGTGTGTCACATGGATAGTGCTACTGGGAGGAGATGTTAGGACACCATACTGTTAGACACTAAGGGGGGCAGGCACCCTTAGGGGCAAACTCCTATATTAATGCATCTTCAAAGTTGTATTTTTTGTTTGTTTAACCTAAAATTCTTTGGAGAAACAATCAGCAAAGGTCATCAACATACTCTGATTCGTTGTTTTAGGTGGCCTAGATTAAACTTGGTTCCCCCGCTTGATGGGTGGTGCCAGACCCTTGAAATAATTAATAGAGTCATAATAGTAGAGTGAAGGACTAACTATGTTAAAAAAGCATGCCAGGGCTAGTGAGAAGTCGAGATTATATCTCTGCTCTGAGGTCTTAGAAATTTAAAGACAGCTTTTATATAGGCTGAGAGCAGAGGTCTAAATTAAAAAAAGTCTCTGTCTCAAGGGGAGTCTGGTCAGAGATTCCTAAGCAGAGAAAGCCTCCTAGAGGATCTGAGAGATTTTTTTTCTTTTAAAGCTCTGTCCTGGTTGCCAGCAATTATATGTTAGGGAAGTTGGAAGACATTTCCATCTTGCACATGTGCAGCAAGGTAAATGCGCTCTGGAGGGAAGTGTGGTGTTTCTGTTTTTGTTTTTATATTCCAGAACCCTCAGGTTTTATGACCTCAGTGCTGTAAAATACCAAATTAGAAATGTATACTCAGGTAAAGGATCATTTTATACGTTCATCCTACTTCCTATATCAAAAGAACCTGTAAAACATGGCTGCTGAGAACTGAGACCAGGTGTACTCAGGCACAAAAGACCTCCAGAGTAAGCCCCTGCTAGAAGCTTAAAACGTATGATTTGTACATGTGAGCAGTTCTATAATGAATAGCCAACACTGGGCTGATTACACGGTGATCTTTCTTCATGAGACCATCAAGGCAAGACCTTTCTCCACCCTCTAGAACTTCAGCTCAGAAATCTGAAATAACAAGCCTGATATGGTACTGAAATCAGAGAAAGAGGGGCATTAACTACATACACTGATTCCACATACACCTTCTCACTGATCCATGTTCTTGGTGCACTGTGGAAAAAGAGAGGTCTTCTTGATGTCTGTAAAAAAGAAATACAGAAAGAGATTCTTTAGATTGTGTCAAGCAGCAAATCACCCTAAGGAAGGGCCATGTGCACTGCACAGGGCCTCAGGGTAGACTAAGAAATAATTTAAAAAACTATGTAACTGATGCTGTAGTTAAATGTGCAGCTTTATCTTGGGAGATACTCCAGCGGTGTTTGTTCCCCTCCCTGACTACAGATCTGTTCCCTCCTATTTGTTCTTTGTTTCTGTTTGTTTGTTTGTTTGTTTTTGAGACAGAGTCTGGCTATGTAGTGGGCTGGCCTTGAACTCACTATGTAGTCCAGGCTGGTCTCAAACTCACAGTGATCCTCCTACCTCAGCCTCCCAAGTCCTGAGATTGCAGGCGTGTGCCACCACACGCAGCTAGCTCTCTCCTATTTGGAAGAAAACATACAGAAAGCAAAAAGTCAGGCTTTCAAATGTCTCCTGTCTTGGGGTAGATGACAGACAAGAAAGGAAAGGTCTGGTTGCCAAAAAAAGAGGCCTACACAATTACTAAATTCATTCTACTCATTATGAAAAAGAAACTGTACAACTAGCTTCTCGTAACAATAAAGACCCCAAATTTAAAGAAAACTATAGGTGAACTAATAGGACAGTATTTGAACTGGCAGCAGAAAAACATTCAAATAACGTCATGTGTACTTCCATTAGAAAAGGCAATACGAACCAGGAGTGTACTGCACGTAGAGAACAGCAGTGGAGATTACCGTCACACCAACTGCTGCAGGATTTTAGTTTTTCCTTTTGAGACAGGGTCTGGTTATGCAGTTCAGTCTGGCCTTGAGCTCACTGTGTAACCCAGGCTGGTCTCGAACTTGCAACCATCCTCTTGCCTCTGCCTCCTGAGTGCTGGGATTACAGGCGTGCATCACCCCTCTCGGCCTACCCTAGGATTTAAATATCTCTTAGTTTTTGTAG